TATCCTATGTCGACATGCTTGTTCTCCGGGTGTAATGACGTGGCGGGACAGCGGGTTTTAAACTTTTTGAGTTAAAATTGGCTAATTAGGCACTTATGTTAGACCAGACCATTGTACACCCCTAGAGCAGGTTTTAAACTATTTGGGTTATAATTGGCTAATTAGGCACTTATATTAGCCACACTAGCAATCATTAATGGAGAATGATGGAAGGCAATAATTAGTGAACAAACTTGAACTATTAAACACTTTTTTTTGTCAAAAGATATCATATATTAATCCAAGATAAATAGATAGTTACATCCTGGAAATCAGCCAGGCCCGAAAATCAAAGACGCGACTCATAGATAGTTACATCCTGGAAATCAGCCATGCCCAAAAAGGTATGGCGAGGCAAACCCTCCCCCAAGTATTCCATTCCTGAGTAGTCCTAGAGGGCCCGTGCAACTGGATAATAAAGGAACAGATGTTCCATCGTCTCTGGGCTATCCCAGCAAACTGGACACCGGGGAAGCACAAGAACCTTCTTCTCAATAAGTGCCTCCTTAGTTGATAGAGCTCGATTAAGTATTTGCCAGACGAAAACCTTCAGCTTCGGAGGAATCTTAGCTTCCCACACCCTGATCCAACTAGGCTTATCCATCCAGCTAACCGAGGACCGCCAGCCACCCCTCCTCCTCTCCAAGTCAACAGCCAAATGGTAAGCTGACTTTACGGAGAAAACCCCATCTACCGTATTATGCCAGATAAGCTTATCAGCCACACTCTACCGCGGAAGGGGAATAGCCTTAATGGCGTTGAAGGTAGGCGGGTCAAACCATTGACTAAGCCTGTCATCCGCCCATAGCCCTTCCCCTTCACGAATAACCTCCGCCACCAAGGGATCACCCCCGTCCGGCAAGATCAGCCAATTATAACAAGGGGGTCGAGCTGGGTCCCAGGAATCCAGTTAGAGTGGAGAAGAGAGGCCGACTGGCCATTGCCGATCTGCCATCTTAAACCCATCTCCAATAACTGTCTCCCAAAGAGGATACTCTGCCACCCCCATGAGGGCGTGATCTAGCATGCGCACTCAGGAATGACCCTCGCAAGAAGTATTTCCCTTTATAGACCTGGGCAAGGAGGGAATGAGGTTCATTGAGTATCTGCCAGCCAATCTTTCCTAAAAGAGCCTAGTTAAAATGTTCAAACTGGCAAAACCCCATCCCCCTTCATGCTTACTCCTACACATATTACGCCAGGACACCCATCTAATCTTAGGATGCCCCTCTGCATCACCCCACCAAAAACGGGCCACATGTCTATCCAAAAGACGACAAAGAGACAGATGAAGCCGGAAGCAGGACATGACATGTAAGGGTAGGGCCAACGCTATGGATTTAATCAAAGTTTCCTTAGCTTCCCAAGATAGCGTCCGTTGCTTCCATCCCTGAAGTCTCTCAAGGAGCCTCTCCTCCAAATATCTGAATGTAGCCATTTTGGATCTGGCAACCAGCGTGGGATGCCCCAGATATTTATCATGAACCCCCACTGCACTAACCCCTAGGATTGTGGCCAAGAACTCCTGATCTGGCAGGGCAATATTTTTGCTAAAGCACACCGCAGATTTCTCTAGGTTAACCTGTTGGCCACTCAGCTCCTCATATTCATTCAGCATGTCAATTAAATTCTCGCACTCCTGGAGAGAACCTCTCAAAAATAAATACGAATCATCAGCAAAGAACATATGAGAGATTCTTGGGGCATGAGGAGCCACTTTGACCCCCCCCCCCCCTCCAGTTTCTTTTCTGAGATCGCCTTCCGGAGAAGAGCCGCAAACCTCTCCATGCAAAGCACAAATAAAAGAGGTGATAACGGGTCCCCTTGTCGGAGTCCCCTGGAGGGACTGAAATACCCCGAGGGTGAACCATTCATTAGGACAGAGAAAGATGAGGACCGGAGACATTCATGTGTCCACCCTTGCCAGACAGAGTTAAAACCCATTTTATCCAAAATCGCGAGAAGGAAAGGCCATTCAACTCTATCATAGGCATTTTCCATGTCAACCTTTAGAGCCATGTACCCCTTATTCCCCTATTTTTTTATTTTCAGGTAATGCATTAACTCATGTCTGAGCAGGATGTTATTAATAATTTGTCGGTACCCTATAAACGCATTCTGACCCTCAGAGATGACCTGGGGGAGCAGACCCGCAAGCCGCTCAGCCATGATTTTAGTTATCACTTTATAAACAAACTAGCATAAGCTAATGGGGCGCAATTGTCTGACTGTTTCCACAGAATCCACCTTCGGAATCAACGTGAGCCAGGTATGATTAAAACTTCGCAACATTCGACTTGTTGCAAAGAAGGAACATACTGCCTCAGTCACCGATGTGCCCACTATATCCCAGAAGGCTTTGAAGAACTTTCCTGTGAAGCCATCAGACCCCGGAGCCTGCTCAGACCCCATGGGAAAAACTGTTCTCCTAACCTCAATGGGCAAAACCTCAGCCGTCAATTCCGCATTCATCTGCGGAGTAACACTACGGGCAATGGGGAGATTAGCTACCCTCTCCGTCATATTAGGAATCTGGGTTTCCGAGGTGAACAGAGTCCGGTAGAAGTCAGTAGCAATAGTTGCCTTGCCACTCTCCTCCGTGACCCACTCCCCCTCATCATTTTGCAAGCCCGAAACAAAATTTCGTTTCCGACAGGTGCGTGTGACAGTATGGAAATAAGCAGAATTTTGGTCACCTTTTTTTAACCAGCGAACCCTGGATTTCTGCTACCAATATATCTCTTCCGCTTCCCACTAGCGAGACAGCTCCATTTCCAAGGATCTAATCACCTCCCAGTCTACCGGATGGATCAATTTAATTCAATCAATCTCTGCCTGGAGAGTCCTAATATTCCGCAATGAATTAGTAGTGACTGCCCTGCTCCAATAATACAGTAGATGTCGAAGTTTCTTTAGGCGCTCCCAAAGTCAAAACATAGGGGTACCTTGGAACTCTTCCTGCCAAACATAGTGAACCATGGCTTTGACCTCTAGATTGTCCGCCCAGGGGGCATCAAATCGGAACAGGGGTCGATTACGACGAGCATAAGGTTATCGGAGAGAAGAAGGGCACGATGATTCGAACCCTGATCTGTAAAATTTTTTATCAATGTCTCCAAATAAGTATCAATCCAGGACTGGGAACAAAACGCCCTATCCAGACGTTCACGAATGCATGTTGAACCCATATGCTTGTTTGTCCAAGTGAATTGATCCCCTTGGAAGCCCGGGTCATGGAGACCCAGGTCATGAACAAACTCGCGGAGGCTAAAAGCCTGAGCAGCATTCCACGCCCTTCCCCCATCTTTCTCACCCTCGTGGAGAGTAGTATTGAAATCGCCTATGATCACATAAGGGATATTGATATTCGCACAAACTTCACGAAGATGAGCCAGTTGATTAGCTCGAACAGCAATGTTACAACTAATATAAACAAAGAACACCACATAAGAAAATCCATCTTCATTAATTTGTGAACAAATAAAGAAACTGGAATGAAACAACACCAAAGTGTCCACTCCATGGGACCAAGCCACTACTAAACCTCCTGATGCATCGACTGCATCTACAAAGAAACAATGAGAAATAGCAAATCCTAAACCCCGCATACGACGGAACACTACACGCCAGCTCGATCGCGTCTCCGAGAAAAACACTAGATCCAGTTTATTGGAATAAACAAGACCTACAACAGTTTGGAAAGTGAGGGATGGCCCAATTCCTCTCACATTCCAGGCAAGAAGCCCCATTTATCTGCTTGGGGCCATTTATGGCGGCTTCCTCCACCTGTTCCAGATTTTCAGCAATTTCGACGAATTGTTTTTTTGGCGAAGGAACGCCATCCATATCTCCTTACACTGCATCCAATGGACTCTTACGCGTCCCAATATTTGGGTTTAGTAAGTTCGACCCATACTCGTCCAGCTGCGGATTAACCACCTGGAACTTCTCCAGGCTAATCCGTTCTTGATCACATTCCACCTCCTGTTCCTGTGTGGGAGGTTCCGAATGAGAAATGGTCAGCCCAGCCTGAATGCAGCAACAACTTGGCACACACGCCCCCGAGGTGTAGCCACACTTTTTCCTTTAGGCAAAGAGGATGGCGGTCTCCTTTTAATTTCAAAACATTGATCTTCTTCGTCCGACTCTGATTCAACCGAGACAAGGGCCTGCACGGTCTCTTTCATGGGGACAGAATAATGGGTCGGCCCATTGAACTCACCAACTCGATCCAGGCCTTCCTCCCATTCTGGGTCGCGCGTAGGTGGGGAAGATTCTTCCATCGGTGGCCTGTCCTTACGCAGCCTGCCCTTTGTAACAAAAAATACCAGCAGATTGTGTTTCCATTTCTTGAGAGATTGAGGTATCAGCAGGAACATTCTCACGTTCATGATCTGACCTCGTCTCCAAGCCCTCTGCCTTGCCAACCTTCTCCGTATCAGTAGGAACATTTTGTGTGATCTCCCCCAAGCTGGATTTTAGGTGGTTTGTTGATGGAGAATCCCCGAGGACTAGCCTTTCTACTCGTAGGTTTCGCAAAAGGCTGGCCCTGGTTCGTCTGACTCACATGAGCAGACTTTCCTTTGGCGAGCTGCTGGACCCCTTCCATTTTCATATTAGGTTCTTGCAGTTTCTCATCTCGGTCACAAACATAGGTTCTTGCTTGACTAGCCAGGCCATTGAGCTAGCGATTCACCCATATCGACTGTAGAGGACCCCCGAATTTCGTGTCATCACCCTCTTCCTCATAGACCCGACGCCCCAACTTCTTTGTCGACATATGGGGGCCAAAGCGCTCTTTTCCACTCGGCAGATCAAATGTACAATCACGTCGCGAGTGGCCTACACGTCCACAATGATAACAAAAGCTCGATAGGAATTCATATTTCAAGTTAACCCAGAAGCAGCCAATGTCATCACTAGCAGCCATAAGTTGGGACCAAAGAGGTTTAGCAAAGTCTATAACAGTACGCACTTTAATAAAGCGCTCCCCTGTTTCTTTGCAGGCGAAAACCTATGATTCCAAAACCTGACCAATAGCCGAGGCCACTATTTTGCGCCCAAAGAGCTTGGTGCAACAATCATCTTTCACACCCCAGAGTTGGATGCGAAAAGGCGATACGAATAGTTCCTCAAAGATTTGACGAGAAATCGAGGGCGTCCAGGATCGAAGGCTGAGGAGCTTGTCTTTGATGACCCATGGAGTGCGCTTTAAAGACCATTTCTTTGCCTCTTCGTTAGGTAACATGATTTTGAACAAATCATGGCTGGCCTTAGAAACTTTTACCCGCCCTTTGATTTGCCAAGCATCGATTAGTACATCTCGCAGCTCCAAGATCGCGATTTGATCAGTAGTGAGCAGTCTCCCCAATAGTGTGCGTGTTGCACGGAATTTCGTGGATTGCACCTCGTCAATGGAAAATTGGATCACCTGATCTTCCGACACATGATCCATAGCTTGTTCCTGACACAAAGAGGCAGAAACACAAGCAGGGAGCATTTTTAATAACATCAGGAGCCATGTCCATCAGAGGGGGAATAATCGTATTGAATGCATAAGCAGGAATAGCTATCCGCTTTTGATAAGGGGCTACCGATGATAAAGGAGATGGGATGGACGTTTGATCACGATTCACCATACCTGAGCTTAACTCGGCCGCAACAAAAGAGGGGGAGAGAGCTACGTTGTTGGATTCACACAAGCACTTACTTTTCTGAAGTTGGTGATATAGTAGACGTAGCATGGGGGTATATATAATGAGAAACGCAGCAGTAGCTGCTTCTCTGGAATACGTCGCGAGTCTAGGCCCACTGTTGGCAATTTGAGTTCGAGCAGAATTGGGAGACCCAATACAGCTCAACCTAGTTCGGTTATTAAGGGAGATAGGATTACGAAAATCCCTCCCAAAAACCCACGATAAACCAGGACATAATCTTTTAGCATCCAGGTTAGTTCGATTTTTCCGAGTCCCTCGGACTAGAGTTGTCCCTTTTGTCGGCGGTGACTGCCACAATCCGCCGGCGGAAAAACATGTTAGGGGAGGGAACGTAGTGCTCACCGGCCATTTTAGCGCCGGCTTTTGCTAAGCTCCCCCCCCCCCCCCCCCCCACACACACACACACACACAAAGCGAGACCTACCAGTTCTATCACCCTGCAAACCAGTGGCCAAATCCGTGGGAAGCAATCTGGTATCAAGTGTCTCAGGCAAGGACATCGGCGATTCATCCTCTCCCAGATCAAGTCCAGGTGGGAGCTAGAATAGCCAACCCCTTAGTGGCTGAAATCTGCCTTTTTTGGGATGAAGCTCCATCAGGGTCTCATCAGCCCTCCACACAGAGCCTCTTTTTTCGTTTACGGGACAAGCAGTACGAGCTGCTCTCCCGTTCTTCAGGTTTCCACTTGAAATCCGACTTTATGCCAGGAGGCGTACTCGGTTGTCGAGCGATAATGGGTATGTCATCATCTTCTCCAAGAGGGTAGGAGGATCTATACCAGGCTGATTGCTGGTTCTTCACACTGGCCACGAACAAAGAAAAAAGTCCCTGAACGAGGCATAGAGGACAGAGCGTCTCTCACCATTTTTTTTCTCGAGTTTTGGGGATCGAGCAACTGTTAAACTCATTTTAGTCACCACGAATGAAGATAAAAAATATTTTTAATAATAAACGTGAAACAATTTAGTAATTCTACTATTCTAGTGACAAACATGCAATTTACCCCCTAATTGTTTCAAGGAGAAGAGCTACGGAAAGTTAACTCATGCTAAAGTGGAGGACAAATTAAACCCTAGAAATTTGACGATCTCCAAAAGACCAAAACCCTCTTCCCCGACTTGTACTACTGTGAACTGATTCCTGAAGCTCTACTTGGAAGCCGAAGTCCTGATCCAGCAAGTGAGTTTCTATTGTGATTCCGCTCTTTAGCTTTCACCGTCCCGAGCATTCTACTTTCGGTTTCCCCCTGCAGCGAACAGCACGAATGCGAGATCCGCGATCTCAAATCAAATTCGTTTTCTGTGCATTGCTATTCAGCCTCTTGACTGCATATGGGTTGTGAACTTTTGTTTTCCTATTTGTTGTTCGTTAGCTAGATTCTAGTTTTCCTTTCAGTTTACTGTCGATGATCTTTCTAGTCCTCTGTTTCTGTTGTTGCTGAATATCAGAGTCTTCTTCCCCTTAATTTATTGAATGGGTTTGGGAAGTTACACATACTGAATCATAATTCCCTTGTATTGGATATCCTGAAGAGTCTAAAAGCTAGGTAAACCATCATTATCATGGCATTAGCTCGACATACCATTGTTTTCATCTTCTTCTTCTTTTCTAATCTTGTATTTGTGGTTTGACCATTTCTCGGATTCTACGGATAAAAGTGCTCTGAAGGATTCTATTTGAATTCTCGTAGCTAAGCTGGCGAAAGGTTTTGTTTGTTTGTTTTACAGACAGCTGGACTTTTATGCCCCCCCGGGTGTTGACAGTCGTAATACTAACGAGGCATGTCTGTGAATCCTAATGCTCCAATGGCTTATGGGGATGAGGATGTTTCTTCAGGTTCTGCTGATGGTGCAAACACGATGGATGGACACAACAAGCGGCCATCTGGGACACCTGCTGGTTCTGGTCGTAAGAGAGGTCGGAAGGCCACTGGTGATGCTATTGTGGATGCCATGCTTGAAATCGCTGCAGCTTCGAAATTGCGGGCAGCTGCCATCATGAAGAGTGAGGATCAATTTTCAATTAGCAAATGTATCAAAGTATTAGATGAGATGCAGGGTGTTGATCCACAGGTTTACTTTTTTGCCTTGGATATGTTTGAGAACCCTAATGCTCGGGAGACTTTCATATCTCTCATGTGCGAGAGACGGCTGCCATGGTTGCAGGGAAAGTATAGTGCCAGCTCTAAATGAACAACTTAGGCATCCGTCATAGGAGTAGTTCATTTCTTTCAACTCCAAAGTGTGGTTACAAACCATAGGCGGACCCCTTTCTTGTAACTAACTGAGACTTAAACGGAAAGGATCTTTAATCTGTTGTTACCTTATGCATCAAGTTAATTGTCACGTGGTTTCGTGATTTGCCATTTCCCTTTTTCTGCTGGGCATGAACGAAAAGCATACTTTGCACAGTTGGGTGAGATTTATCTTTTTGAATGAATCTTTTTGCTAGCAATTGTTATGCACTGAAGAGGTGGTTCTCTTTTAAAAACTATGCATTTCCATTTCTTGTATTATGGTGTGCTTCCCACTGTATTTTTAATTCAGTTTCTACAGATACTTGGGCAAACATGGATGACATTGACTTGCAACTCGACGAGATGGAATTAGCTGCAGCAGCTGCTGGATATTACTATTTTAACAGTTTAACTAGGCAACCTCCGCTTGCTTCGTCCAATGGCAAAGGTAGCTTTATGACTCAAGTACTAGATGGTCCTCATGAATTATGCAGGGAGATGTTTCGGATGGATAAACATGTCTTTCACAAGTTATGTAGCATCCTTCGGCAGAGAGGTTTATTGCGTGATACGTGTGGTGTTATGATAGAGGAACAACTGGCAATTTTCTTGAACATCATAGGTCATAATGAGCGCAACCGAGTAATTCAAGAAAGGTTTCAGCATTCAGGTGAAACTATAAGCCGTTATTTCAATAATGTGCTAAAGTCGATCAAATCACTTTCACGCGAATTCTTACAGCCAGCACCTGGGACTACTCCCCCTGAAATTCTTTGCAGCAGGAGATTGCATCCATATTTCAAGGTTTGTTTATGATTTGCCTGCCAACTTTTTTTTAAATTATTCCTCCTCCCCTCTGGTTCTTCTGTATGCATGCATGACAATAAGCGACTTACTTTCAAGTTCTTTTAATCATTCAGAATTGTATTGGGGTCATAGATGGCATGCACATTCCTGCACATGTACCAGCCAAAGACCAATCTCGATTTCGCAATAGGAAAGGATTCTTATCACAAAATGTACTTGCTGCCTGTACATTCGACCTGCAATTCATCTTTATTTACCCAGGTTGGGAAGGGTCTGCTGCGGATTCACGTGTATTAAGAGCAGTCCTTGATGATCCTAATCAGAATTTCCCTCATACTCCCGAAGGTTAGTGATCTCTCTGTTCTCTATTATTGTAGGAAATACGGTGTTTCATGGTGGTCTTGAGAGTCTAGAAGACTAGAACTGGGTGTTTGAAGTTTTTTTTTTTTTTTATTTATTTCTTTGTGATCAGGAAAATACTATCTGGTGGACAATGGGTACATAAACATGAAAGGATTTATTGCGCCATATCCAGGAGTTCGCTATCACCTTCATGAATTTAGGGGTGCTAATAAGCTACCTAGAACTGCAAGGGAACTATTTAATCATCGGCATTCCTATCTTAGAAATGCCATCCAGAAGTCATTCGACACTCTTAAAAGGAGATTTCCCATACTCAAAGTTGCAACACAGTATGGATTTCAGATTCAAAGGGATATAGTCATTGCTGCCTGTGTGCTGCACAATTTTGTAAGACGTGAGGAAAGAAACGATTGGTTGTTTGCCAGTGTTGAAGCAGTTGCTGCAGTGGAAGAAGAAACTTCCGACATCGATGCTCAGCCTGATATTATGCAGTTAGGTTCCTCTGTACAGGAGGAAATCGCCTTCTCATTGAGAGAATCAATGGCAGCTGCAATGTGGAATGACTTCGTAACCACATGGGATGAATGGTGATTGGTACCCTTGGCGTCCATGTTCAGACCTGGTAAAACAACTGCTTTTGAGCTCAACATGGCTGAGTTGCCGCAGGACATTTGGCAATTGTCCTCAACATTTTCGTAAAGGAAGAGGAAATCGGTTTCCGGAAATGATTGTAACTTGATGGTTTCTCCTTTGAATGATATTTAATTTTATTTAGGAATAATAGCTTTTATACCCCTGCAAATTCACGTATATGTTCCTCTAATTTTTTTTAGGGTTAATATCCTAGTATGGCCCGAAGTTTGGCGTAAGTGACAGTTCTGGCCTCATTTTTCAAATAAGACATTTATGGCCTACTTTTGAAACTATTGAACAAATTTGGCCCAAAATTTTCTTTGACCGTTAATATTAACGGTCAAACACGATTCCATTAGTGACTCAGCAAAAAACTGATGATGTGGCATGCCACATCATTACATAATATTATTTTAATTTTGTAATTCAATTAAAATACAAATTAAAAAATTAAGAAGAAAAAATTAAAACAACCTCTTCGTGTTAACATGAGGGAGTCACCTCCTCCTCCAACAACCAACATTCTGCGGCCTCTCCCTTCCTTCCCAAAACTTGCTTCATCTCCCTTCCTTCCCAAAACCCCAACCACTACAATTTCTTCTTCTTCTTCCATTACGTTCTAACTTCCCCATCCACCGATTCCTCTTTCCTTCAAGAGAATCCATCCAAAAATTAAAGAAGTTCCAAATGAAACCCTAAACACATGGGCGCTGCTCAGGGGAAAAGAGAAAAATTCATGAAGATGCGCCACCTGTGGAGCCCAAGTTTCACCACTTTCTCTTCCGACTCCACCCACTGCGCTTGATCGACGATGCCAGGAGATCCTCCGCCGGAATCGAGACGGCGGCGCCGCCACTACGGGACTTTGTGAAACTCGGAGCTCCGCTGCTCAGAGCGAGGCCGGTCGTCTCCACAACGCGAAACTGACATTCCTGCCAGTTGAGAGCCTCCAGATCTTGCTTGACTTGGTCGTTCGGCGGTAAGAAATTACCGCCCCGCTACTGGAAGAACTCGCCTTTTTTTGCAATCAATCTTCGCCGAACAAAGGGCAGGAGAAGGTGAAATTGGTTAATGGGTTCCCTCCCATTAGGCGAAAAATTGATGGGCAGCATCACAGATCGATGGGTCCTCATCATTGGTGTTCGAGTCGGAGGTACGGCGACAAGGGCGACCGAAACCGCCTCTCCGGACGTACAGAGGTGGGTTCTCACTTCCGGTGGCGATGGCGGAAGGAGTGACGAGGAGAAGAAAGAGAGGGATGAAGGGATAGAAAAATGAATGGTGGGAGTGTGGCGGCGGTTCTCAGAGAAGGAGGAGCTCCTCCCTCCTGTTGACGATGATATAGATTTAGTTTAGGGTTTTTTCTTAATTTCGTAATTTGTATTTTAATTGAATTATATTAAAATAATATTATTTAATGATGTGGCATGCCACATCGGCAGTTTTTGTTGAGTCATTAACGGAATTGTGTTTGACCGTTAGTATTAACGGTCAAAGAAATTTTTGGGCCAAATTTGTCCAATAGTTTCAAAAGTAGGCCATAAATGTCTTATTTGAAAAATGGGGCCAGAACTGTTACTTAAGCCAAACTTCGGGCCAAACTAGGGTATTAACCCTTTTTTTATAGTACATGTTGCTCTAATATTTATTTCACTAGTGAGAATGGGAAGGGATACTACAGTAACCTAGTGATGAGTAACCATGCATAACTCAATCATCATCTGCCATATTAGTGTCCCTTATCTTTCTAAGAAAGCATTTAATTTCTCTTCTTAAATCTTTAACGAACGATTTCTCACTCGTTTTAAGTCATAATTTTTTTTAACAGTTAGATCAGATTAATTGTACTCTTCAAAATGATATCCACTTTGATAAATTTTTGGAACAAAAAAAATTGAGTAATTTTTTATCTGTCTATATACCATATGGTATTGACTGATATTGAACTAAAAGCATATCATATGAGTACCATGGTGGTTGAATACATGATAATAAGAGTAACAGTTATTTATGACTTTTAACATTGTGTACCACAAGATACCATCTCGTACCATGGTGGTATTGTGTGGTATTTTTTGGTCCTGTATTTTGTTCACCCAGAAATTTTTAGATCCAATAGATCATGATGAACTCATTCTTTCTGTGCAAAATTTTTAAAAACGACTTTAAAACATGGTCCATGAAAACGTACCGTACCGGCGGTTCAACGAAATACCAGTATCGCAAGCTAAACTGATAGGCGGAATTTAACGGTCTAACGGTTAAACTACGGTTAAACCACAGTTTTATCATAAAATATCATAACGCTGACTTTTCCGGTACGATATCTGGTACGGTTTCATGGACCATGCTTAAAAACGAAGAAGATATCATATGGTATGCAGTTGGTAACGAGAGGGAAAAGAATTTCTCAAAAAATATTGAAAATGGATCTCATTTGTAGGCACAATGACTCATTCCATCTGTGCAAAAAAATTGAAATCCGAGTTAAAACGAAGAAGATATGAGCCGATTTAGAAAATAAGGGAAAATAAAAATGTCTTTAATTCTCCACCCTTAGATCTGGATTTCAGAATCAAGGGTCCAGATTTAGTTATGCACCTTATCTAGAGTGAGCGAAAATGGGTTTTCGGGCTTCCCGTTACCCTTCCTCACAAGTATGGAAATTTCATGACCCGTGCTAACCAACTCACGATCTATTTGGGGCGGGTATTATCCGATCCGTAGTAGTTTGGAGTGGGTTATGTGTATTGCTTTTATCTTTTGTTCAATTAGTTAGATTCAATTGGCCATTCTATTATCACTATTTTTCATTCATAAAGTATTTTTCTTTCGTTTTATCATAAAAAGTAAAATTTTGCATGTATTTTTTTTTTCAAATAACATGTAAGGGTGGGTCGACTTGCCCCAACCTGCGGTAACGTGAGGTGGGGCATGGGTATTGAGATACCCGTCTCGCCCTGCTCCATTGCCATCACTAGGCGGGACCCAAGCATTGGAAGTGAATGATCTATTCATGACATTTAATATGACTTACCCTGTTACTATCTCAAAGTATTACAATCCCTTGATTTAATATGACTTGCCTTAATAGTGGGGCCCTTCTAATCCTCCCTGAATCCTAGTCTCGGAAAGTGGCTTACTTATGATGGATGGATGATGTCTTACTAAAGATTTTACCTAATTATAGATGGGAACCATTCATAGAGCAAGTGAGAATGGGTTTTTTAACTTCCCCTTGCCCTTCCTCAAGGGTTATGGCAATTTCTTACATGACTCGTGCAACTCGATCTGCCCGATCTAATTAGGGCGATATTATCCGACTCGTAGTAGTGTAGGGCAGGACATGGCTATTACTTTTGACATGCCCCGCATCCAATGTTTTCCCCGTTCCCGACCTTTTTCTATCATGATATGCATCAATATCTACATGTATTTCTCCTCTTTTGACCTTTCTAAAATAATATTTTCATCCCAAGGAAATTTTAAGACTCTATCTTTCAACTATTTAGACTCAATTATTCCTTATACTATATTTCTCATTCATTTATGAAGTGTTTTCTCTATGTATTATTGTAAAAGAGTTAAACATCGTTGTTCTATTTTCAAACAACACATAAAAATTGGTCAACCCACCTCGCCCGTACTTGCACAAATATTACCCATCCTAACCCGCGATTAGCGCGGGGTGGGACCCAACCATTGGAATTGAACAATCTCTTAATGATCCCCCCTACAATACCTTCTCAAAGTTTAATGAAGTTGTTTGGGGACTCTAACTTTCAACAAGAGGATGTGTAGGTGGAGAGTGAGGAACTCATTATTTCCAAGAAATCTCTTGGAGGAGAACATGAGGATTCCATTCCCAAAGATGGAGCCCATGAGGAACCTCTACACCTTATTACATTTTCGCTTCTACATAATCTCAATTATAATATATGCATCACCAAAGTGTGGGGTGAAAAGTGAAAGATGGAAATTAAGGTGGTATCTTTCTCGCGCTCCACCTTCAAGCCCAAAGAGGAAGAAGGATGGTATGTAGTTGGAGTTTTCAGCTCCGACGATGGACTTCAAAGAAGCCCTTAGATAGGGAGCTTAACGGGTTTGAAAGTTACGCATAGCTCAAAGGCGTGAAAGAAAGAGTCGTTCATGGGAGGCAAACCATGTCTGGCGTCCAACTTAAGGATGAAAAAGAAAAGTGCTCTCGAGGCGAAAACTCGAATTTCTAGATAATCATCATCTACATGAGACTCTATTCTCTTGACACATCCTCTTAGTATCGACAAACTACAAGGTAAGTAACCACTACTCTTAACTAAAGTATGGGGTTGATCTAAAACTTGAATTATGTGTTGAGAGATGCTTACATAGGGATAGTTGTGATACAATTAATGGTTTTATTTATTTCCGTATTTATGTTGAGGATAAACACTTTCACTCTCTCCGTTTTGTTGCTTTTATATTTTTTTATTTTGAAATCAACGAAAATAAAAAAGGAAATAATGAAGAAAGGAGCATGGTCATCTAATGGTTTCCAAAACTCATCCATTTGACGTATCATGTAAGGAAAAGGAGAGAAAAGCCGAATAAGAGAAGGAAGAAGTCACGGCGGCCCCACAACGGCCAGCACTGCCGCCAAAATTCCTACGTCTTAGCAGCAAAGAATCCACAAAGTCCTCCATTAATTGTGAAACTGAACCTAGCAGTCCTAGTGCATTCTTTGATCCATCTGATATATGGTTCTGGAAACCCCATAACCTCCATGACAGTGAACAGATATTGCCAATGAACAGAGTCAAAGGCTTTCATGATGTCAACTTTGATGGCACACCTAGATGAGAGTTGTGCTCTACCATAACCACTAACAATTTCTTGTGCTAGCATGATATTATCAATAATTCTCCTATCTTTGATAAAAGCATATTGGTTGGGGCTAATAACAGTGGGCAAAACTAGGCTCAACCTATGTGCTAGAATCTTAGCACTATAGGAAAACTGATTTCTGGTCATGGGATCTTATTCACGGTAATTTTTCCCGTATTAAGAAGTGTACTAATATTCACAGTAAAACTTCTTGTAATTGATTGTATAGTTTTATTCACATGAATTAAATTTTATGTCTTTTTGTCTTCATTTACAGTGATTAATTAATAGTCACGGTTAATTACCGTGAACAATGTGTCACTATATATCTTCAAAATTATGTAAAAAATGATATTTTGATATAAGTAAATTTTAAATATAAATAAATATATATATATATGGATACGACTCGTATGCTCCTGACGCATAGCATGCGACAGGCTTCTAGACCGATGATCTAATCTAACGGTTTGTATTAATTGTAGTAAATTATTTATTTACTAACAATTATAATTACTAACACCACCCTTTAAATAATTATGCGTGCAATATAATCCCTCAACAATATTTACTACTACATTTTGTATTATAATACCTTATTTCTTATAGACTTTTTATTCAACCCAAAAATTATATATAATTCACGATTGTTTGTCCATTAAATTTATGAAGATGGATCGATCATTAACCCAGGAAAAAATCAAGAAAACGTCTTCATCAACGTGATACGGACCCCATTATGGAAGTCTTCATCATCAATAGAAACCATCTCCACTTAATAACATCATCACTCAAAGCTAACCCTAATTCCACCATCGTCATCAAGGAACTCAGCTACCCCTAATTACTCTCTCATCTTGGGTCCAATCTCTTCCTTGCGCCAACCTCTTTTTCCCCTCTTCCTCTTTGAAGCAGAACGAAACATAGTTGCGGAAGGGGAGATCGACGGCGGCGACTGAATCATGGCCGCTGCCGCCTCCCTCACCCTCTCCATCCTACTTTCTTCTTCTCCATGGCGAAAGGAGGGACGTGATATGTAGATTTACGACGGCGGGACTGATCATATTCGTTTGGTTGATGTGGGACTGTCGGGTAATAGAGACGGCGGTGGGATTACAGCGGTGACCGAAGTTGAGAATGGAATTGGAAAAATTGGGGAAGAAGTGAAAGGGCACGTGAACGACGTCTTTTGATAGGCGGAGGCTGGATAAAAATAGTAACCTTACAAGACATCGAACTGCTAACTTGGGATAATAAGGAACAAGGGTCAAAGGTCGACTATTACCATCTCAGCTGCAGATGAAATTTATTTCATCCATGTATTGCTTTGTTGATTTTAAACTAATGATCAGTCTTTGATCAGCTGCCTACCTATTATTTTTGGATTTATTATTGTAATTAGTGTTGAGTGATTTGATTATGATAGTTGCTTGGATATGCGGTTTGTTGATTATAGGTTCTATTATGATATACATATGTTTAAATAGAAAGGATTTTTTCCTTAATTCCTTTTTTTTTATGTATATGGGAATGATTAGGGTAAATGTAACATCTCGAACCTTTTTCTGACGAATATATTGTCTGCTTTGGGGTTAGACTCTCACAGTTTTTGACTTTGGGTGCAATTCAAGGTGACTTCTCATAAGGTCACACATCTTTGTTATACTCCATACCGAGCACGTTTAACTTCGGAGTTCTCACAAGAACTCTTCCATTTCACCCAAAAATGTGTCTTGTCAGTTAAGGTCGGTTTCTAATTACTTATGAACCATGAATCTCTCCAGTGATTTTGTCGATGTGGGATTTGCCTAAGATGTTACAGTATTAGTACACATGACGTATAATATATGATTGCATGCACTAGAAGTTAGATAATTTTCTTTTTACGAGGTGAAGGTAACTAAAACTAAGTATTGTGAGTGTGTTGCTAGAAGTTTGTAATATGACCTAAACTATCTTGTTTGGAAAAATAGTTTTGTGCCTAGGAGTAGTAGAGATGTTTGTACCTAATTGGATTCTAGATTTGACATTTATTTTGCTTAGTGTATCTTGCTTCCCTTTGAGGAATAATAAATCACAAACCTCACGTTACACATGAGTAAGAATATGATTTGTTCTCGTTCATGGATAATGTTACACTTACAATTTGTAGATATGTGTACAAACTATTACGTCGATATTTGGTAGGAAGTTAGAGAAGAATCCCTATCCATGTCAATAAATTGTGTATTGTTTCTAGTCGGTAAAGGGTTCTGACAATGAAGCTTTCTCGCACACGAGGCATGGAGACGATAATTACTGCAAAAATATTGTGGACCATTCTCGATTCAGATCATTCGTTGATAAGATAATTTTTTAAAATACTTAGTGAATGATTGCATACTATAAAAGGCAGTGTGTCTTCTTGTTTTTCTTTCATACTAATAATCTTTTTCTATGGTTTTGTAATTGAAACTATTACATTCGACTTCAGTGCACATGAAGTCGTATTCAATTGGTCGATCACTTGTGCCTGGTATACTTTTCAAATTTTGAACACCAAACCATTTAAGTTTTTGATGAACCAGTGGTAATATATTTTATAAAAAACCGGCGGATACTAGCAATATATTTTGTATCTCTTTCTTCTTCTATTTATGTATGGATATCACTTAACTACTCGGTCATAGTTACTTAATTTCATTTTTTCTATAATTCTAAGGTCAATTGTACAATGGAATGAGTTGTTTAACAACTTGACATTTTCTAAATGTCCGATAATTACATGGGGTTTACCATTGGTTTGAGGTTATGTTTCCATTAGATGATGTTATTATTGTGTTCCCCTAAATTCTTCCTTAGTTCGCTAACCGATCACCTCTTTTCGTTTCTCTTTCTTCTTCGATGTAGCCATGGATATTAGATAACTACTCAGTCATAGTTACATAATTTCACGTTTTCTATTATCGTACCAGCAACTGTAAAATGAAATGAGTTGCTCAACAACTTGAGATTTTCGAAATCTACGATAATTACATGGGTTTATCGTTCGATTGAGGCTTTGTTTCCATTAGTTCGCATTCATATTAATGTGTGGCTAGTAATAGTATCTAGCATTCTTCTAGTTCAATGAAGCCGACTGAGATTTTTGCCTTTTGACAAGATCTCCCCATGTAGGAGACAAAGGTTCTTTCAAATAATTAGTTGCCTGAATGCATTACTTACCAAACAACCCCTAACCCATTTTGGCGGATTAATAAAATTTCAAAACTGTCAAATTTCACTCTTTACTTACGCGGTAAAGTTTGTTTTCCCGCCAAAATTATTGACTTCCTCTTTTCAATGGATTTCGATTCTCCCAAGAAACATAGTTCCTTCCTTTCCATTCTCCTTCTCGATTGCATGTAGTCAATCTCAAATTGAACCCATGATTTCTTCTGGTACTGACAAGTGAGGATTTGCTAGAGTCGATGACGATGTCTGGAAGACGGAAATAGCTGGGGTTGAACGAATTGCTCTAACTTTAAGTCCGTCGATCTATTGCTCCATCTGGTAGGTACGACTGAGTTGGTAAGAAGTCGCTCTTTCGTCTCCTTTTTTCGTCCCCTAAATCTGGGTTATTAACCTCGTTTTTCTTATTTCCATTTGTTTTTTTTTTTTGCATGAAAATGAAATTCTTGGCGAGAGGACGAGTCCTTCTCCTTTCTGTGAAAGTTACTTAGGAAATCTGGTCTGATTGGGGATTTAGTGAGAAAAAGGATTGCGAAAGAGCTCAGTCTCGCAACCCAAGGACAACAAGGGCAAAGATGATGGCTTGATTCCTGAACAGCGCTGCGATAGGTGTTTAATCCTCCTTTCCCTTTTTCTTCCAATTCCCTTTTTGAGCTAGCTCGTGATTCTGAATTTTGGGTTCTGCTTTTTGTGTGCAGGGTCGCCAAGGTTCTGCAGAAGAAGTTGGACAAGAAAGCTGCGCAGGCCGAGTAGGAGAATCTTCCGAAGGTAAAGGGAACGCTAAGAAATAATGACAGGGGCTTTGATTCGAAAGCATGGGTAACTTGTGCTTAAGAAACACCTGTCTTTCTAAATGTGTTTAGTAATTGCTCCATTCCGAGATAAGAGGTCCATGTTAGTGCAAGGAACCATCTTTTGTTGTTTTGTTCCTGGAATTGTGAGGGCTCTGTATTTCTAGTTTTTCACCAATGAACCATCTTTCTTATTGTAGTTCTGTTGACGTATTCCAGGGAGGTGATTGTTCACACACAAGAGCTCTTGGAATCTACTTGTTAACTGTAAAAAAAAAAAAAATCAGACTCGATTAAAGATCGGTTTGGATTCTAAAATGCCTAGCAGGTATGTGCTTTCTGCACAAGTTATGATCTGTTGTCATGGATTGATGATTTGTTTGTGTCAGGGCTGAGTTTTCCTCTACCTCTTTAGGTTTCCTCCTGTGTTCTTTTATACTCCGAGGAAGATTGGTGGACTTGGCATAAGTGAAGGACTTCTACCTGATGGCTTCTAGTAGTGTGTCTCCTGGGTATAGTTTTCTGGATTCTGACTAATAATATGACTGGGCTAATGCAGGGTGTGGTCGTATTGGAAGATTGTTTGTGCGCATTGCGCCGATCTGGAAGTGGTGGAGTCAATGATACTTTCATTGATGCTAAGTACATGGTAAGAATTGGCTTAGTAACTAATTACATTTCTTTTCTCTACACTCAAAATGAAAAGTCTGTTCGGTTATAGCTAAGTTGTTTTCTGAAGTGTTATTCAACATATTTCATTTAAAAATTGAGGATATACTGGCCTGAATATAGTTGTTCCTGCATTGAAATTGTTAAAGCAAGCATAAATTTGGGTAAGATCTCGATAAGCTTCAACAGATCAACCATGAACTTCAAGTATGAAACTTTAGAAAAGGCCACTGATTACTTCAGCGTATCAAAGAAGCTAGGCCAAGGAGGAGCTAGCACAGAGTATGTTCCCCACAAGAGCCTCGACTAGTTCCTATTCGGTAAGAAAGAAACAATGAGAACTCTCTAACCCAAGATTTCAGAAATGCTGATTTGGATCTCCGTTTCATTGTAGAGAAGACTAGCAAGATGGTGACTTTGACTTGTTGGTGATTGGAAAGTGACTTGACCATCAGAGGAAGCACCACAAATGGAGCAGACAACTTCATATATTTGTTGATGAAGTTGTTATACTTGGCTGCCACTTCTGAACTGACTTGACCGACATCTTATTACAGTATGCTCTTGAAACTAGAAGCAAGCCAGTGAGGCATTAGCTAGCCAGGTCTGATTTACACACAAAAAAAACCCTGGAATGTCTGTGAATAGCGAGCAGTTCATGTCCCTCAATCTATGTTCGTCCAACAAAGATATGACTGTCATAGCAAAAATAGAGAGTATTGATTCATCGAAGAACTTGGAAGAGATCATTCAAGCATCACATGGAGCTATGGTAGCAAGAGGAGATATGAGTGCTCAGATACCATTGGAACATATACCAGCCACGCAGCAAAAGATTGTCGAGGTGTGCAGGCAACTGAATAAGCCAGTCATTGTTGCATCTCAACTGCTCGAATCTATGATCAAGTATCCTACACCAACAAGAGCGGAGGTCGCTGATGTCTGTGAAGCAGTTAGGCAAAGGTGGAGATGCATTGGCTGCTCTTACGAGTGTGAGCGTGAGAATTGAGTAGTGGTGGAGAGATGGGAAACACCATGAAGTTATGGAACTTCAAGCTCTTGGTTCATCATTTTCTGACCTGTTTTCAGAAGAGATTTGCACCTCTGCTGCCAAGATGGGTAAGTCGCCATTTTATCATGAAATTTCCATGTTATTTCACTAGTACCTTGATGATACAGCATTCTAATTCTTTCACCATTCTAATTCAAGACTAGGCGCATCTTCAACCTTGTCAAAGAACAACAACTCTTCTCTCTTCACCTTCTCTTCCAGGTTAACACAGGCTTTGCTCGCATTTTACTATAGTATATGCATGCTTGATAAACCCATTATGGATTTGGCCAAAGAGAAGTCTCTCTGGAATTTCTGAGCCACGGGTCTGGGAACCAAAATGAGATGAGAATTCTTTATGAAACCCAACTCTGACTTTGTTCATGGGCACGTCTGTAGGAGTCAGATGCACGTCTTGTCATGCGAAAAGAGATCTGTGTAGTTGGATGAACTTTATAGTAAACTTACATAATTACTGCTAGTGGGATTTTCTCCATCAATTCCTTCAATCTCTCCAGCAACTTTTATCACATTGTTTAGGAAGATTGACTTTGCTGTTTTTCTCACATTTGCAGTAGGAAAAAGAACAAAGTAGTGAAGTGACGAGAAAATCTGAGGACATGAAGGCAGCGCTCTAGCAAGTGTGACGAACGAGAAAAATGGTTGTAATAAATTGCGGTTAATTAATTGTTGCAATTAGAATTTCTACCAATAATATAAAAGCAACCAATTCAAAATAAATTCAGTTGCCAATTCAAGCAATATATTATCCAAATGGCAATTCAAAGAGAAAAGCAAGCATTTGAAGGAAGAAAATCCTTCCAGAACTAATCAAACAAATTTCTGCGGCATTTTATGGTTATTTTCCCATCGAAGAGTGCTTTTAGACTTCAGTAGCTTCGGCGACAATTTGGCCTTGTATGGTATAAGATGGATCTTTGATCAGGTTCATGCCAAAGAGAAGAAAATCGACAAAAAAAAGAAAATAAAACCCCATGAGTCACAAAATAGGGTTGGTAATACCTCTTTAAATTAAATAGTCTCACCCAAACTCTATGCTAAAAAAGAAAATTATATTTTCCTGCAATAAAACTAAAACATTAAACACGACACTTCTATTCTTCCCAGGGAAACAATCAACATGACTTGGGAGTCTCATATTTCAGCAATAGCCCCAAGCAAACCGAAGGGCGGAGACTACTGCTCTCTTTTGGTTCTTTGCTCCTGTACTTCTCAATTCATTCTCCAACCTTGCCAGCTCTTCCTGCAATTGGTGAAGATACGACAACAAATAATCTATCAATTACTGACAGTTTAAAATTTGGAAGAGAGAAGACTAGATGGTCCTACCAGCCTCAAAATCTAATGAGATCTAGAGCTGGTATCACTGAGGGAAGTCTCCCCTATTTGTCTCTGAGCTGCAAAACAATATTTATCAAAAGATGTGTTTACAACATGCATCATTCAAGCACTAATGCTTCATAATGCAAAAACATGTACTAAAGAGCCCTATTGCCTACCTACATTCACAGATAGACACGAGTTGTTCAAAATGATTCCAATCCCTTGAGGTCTCCTCAACCAACTTGTCGATAACGATCCCTCTATGTTTATATAGAACATATATATAGATATTTTCATTAGAAACTTATAGAGTTGTTTACAACTAATGTGAAACTTAACAGTATAAATAGATCGTCTACTAGACAAAGAGGAGTTGTATATACAGACAACAAAACAAACTCGTAGATGGCCCTAGAAATGTAGCCAGAAAATCAGATCTATCTTCTCATTCATGTTCTTTGTTAACGTGTGTTTTCACTATGATCAATAGTGATGGCAATGGGGCGGGGCGGGTACCTCAATTCCCATGCCCCGCCCCACGCTACTACGGGGCGAGGCGGGGCGACCCACTCTTACTTGTTATTCGAAAAAAATACAAATAAATTTTACTTTTTACGATAAAACGAAGGGAAAAGCACTTTAAGAATGAAAAATAGTGATAATAGAATGGGTAATTGAGTCTAACAAGTTGAAAGAGCGACTCTAACTAGTTGAAGAAAAGTCAAAATAGGAGAAATATGTATAAAAATTGTAAGAAATTGAGATAAAATGAGTCTAGAATGGGGCAGGGCGGGGCAGGACGGGTCGGAAGTAGATACCCATGCCCCGCCCCACGCTACTGCGGGTCGGGTAATACCCGCCCCATCGCGGGTCAGGTCGGGTAATACCCGCGGGGCGGGTTGAAATTGCCATCACTAATGAATAATGATCAATACTTTTTTCTTGTTGTCTCACTAACTAAATCATTTTATACCAACCCAATCACCACAATCAAGCACTTCCAGGATAAATGTGACCTTACTTTCCAATCTTAGTAACTCAATGTGAAGAGCCACCAACTTCGATTTTTTGAATTCATTACAAAATAGGAACACGTGTTAAGCAAACCCAGAACAGTACTGCGCTTAATTCTCCTGGACATGGTCATATATAAGCTGTTAATGATATAACTTTACCTTCCTTGATGTCGTAGTAATGAAGCCTCAAGTGGAAGAATTCTTCAACGACTCCATAAGATGATTAACGAAATCTCCTTTGCCGAGCCTCTTATGATTGTGCCTCTGAACCCTTTGTACCAAGGCTTCACAAGTTCCAGCTTTTGTGAGTTGTCTGCAGAGAAAAATAACTTCATGATGCTATACAACAGAAAGTACAGGTAATACCTTAAAATCCCTTATCTACCGATCGATTAGGTAACACAAATTCATGGAATGCACACTCAACAAAAGGTCAAAGCTTACCTCTGAAACAGAGTTGTTGGTAGGATCAAGCAATTGGGCATTCCTAGGCGATGGGAAATCCTTCATCACCCCAATCGTGTTTGCCGATTTCACAGACCGTACTCTGCTGCTGGTCAATTCCATTTCTTCGAACGCCGACATGCAGGGAAGCGACTATAATTGGGGAGCCCTCACTGACTTGCAGACGAGGGAGTACAACTGGAACCCATCACCATCGCAGAAGTTGATTTAGTCCTCTTCCCCACGAGAAACACTCTCTTCAACCCAAATCAATTTCTCCGCGTGACGCTTCCCTTCGGCCACGGCCTCCTTAGCGCATCTGGCACCATCTTCTTCTCAACCGTCGACAAGTGATACGTCGTCACCATCTCTCAGACCTTCGTCTCCCATGGCATCTGGGCCTCCTTAATCCACCCAATCGACGTCCTTCACGGGGACATCGGCTCCTCCGTCGAAGTCACCGTCGAGCTTCTCCGCCTGGCAGCATGCACAAGGGTGAAAGGGCCCTACTTGGTGTCGGTCACCTCAATCGGAGGGAACTCTAATCGGCTGGGCGATGAAGATGAACAGATGGGACGGAAGGTTTTGGCTTGGGTGTGTTTCGATGATGAACTGGTGGAGGTGGCGCCGGAGAGAGAGACAGACTGCTAGGGATTTTGAGTGAGCATCGATTACCTGGCTTGGGTGTGTTTCTATGATGAACTGGAATTGTTTAGGCTTTAGGGTTAATTGATGTAAAAGTGGAATGAGAAATGAACGAGGAAAAAGATGCTGGTTGTACTCCAACCGTCTTAGTTCAAATGGCCACAATAAATTTGGGGAAGGGACAAAAGGATTACGACCTCACAAGACAAGGGTTCTTGTTGATCATAAGAGAAAATTGATTTGAAAATAAAGAAAGTATTTAATTTAGGTGCTTTATACGATGCTAGGAAGAAATAGCGTAGTTTAGTGTAAAAAGTAATGATTAAATTTGTAGAGGACTATACTGTATGTATTAAATTTTATTAGGTGTAGTTCGTAATTATGATTTTATATTAATAATTCATTTTAATAAAATTAATATTGTACCGTTAGATTAGATCAACGGTGCATAGAATCTGTCGCATGCTATGCATCAGGAGCATACGAGTCTGACCCATATATATATATATATATATATATATATTAAGTCTCTTTCATTATTTTAAAAATTGAAATTTTATTCAAAGTTTTTCTCTTATCAGATTATATTCCTCCAAAATTAGGACTCCAAAAAATTTTCAAAATTGCATTCTCGTTAAATTGTGACTCCTTAGATTTGGAAAATACAAAATTTGCTCGAAATGATTTCATTCTCCCGCTATTTTCTCCCGCCTCTGCAATCCTAAATTTTGACTGACAAAACTGCCCGGAAGTGCTCGTCGGAGCCTCGCCGGAGTCTCGCCGGAAATCCCCTCCGGCGACTCAAAATCAATCCAAATTACCTCAAAATCGAGGGATAGGCCGATTATGGGGAGGAAAGGGTGGGTGTGGTGTTGGATTTGTGAAGAACCGACCAAAAATGGCCGAAAATCGACAAGGAGGGCGAAAAGTCGCGGTTTTCCGGCGAGGGGGAGGGGATTCCGGCAAAAGAATTTGATTTTTTGACCACTCGGCCGTGTCGGCCGAATTTATAGCCCGTGGCTCGGCCACACGGGAAGGGTCACACGGCCGTGTGAGGTGCACATGTGCCCGTGTCGGCCGACACGGGCATGCCGAGGATTTCCACACGACCGTGTGCAAAGCACACCTGGCCGTGTAAAAAATAGCGAGAGCTCACACGGGCTGTAGCCAAATCCACACGGCCGTGTCACAATCACAACTGGCCGTGTGGAAATTCACGAGAGCTCACACGACCAAAACCCAATTTCACACGGCCGTGTGACTTTCAGGGCTGGCCGTGTGGGCTGCCAGAACTCCGAAATTGACCTGTTTTCACTCCAGAACGACATACAACTCGTGAACAACCCCTCAAGACTCAAAAAAACACAAAAAATCAAAAGGAAAAAGGTAAGAAAATGCAAACCTAGGTGGGGTTGCCTCCCCACAAGTGCTTCTTTACTGTCTTTTAGCTAGACGCCAGTAGGTGGATCCTCAGAGAGGTGCAGGAACAGGTGCCTCCAAGAGCGGATCCACGTCGCTCTTGAGGTACAGCTTCAGGTTGTGGCCATGCACCCGATGGATGCGACCACCATCATTGGTCAGCTCGGCCTGGCCATCCGACAAGATGCAGGCGAGTGAGTACTCGGACGGCCAGGGTGGTCGTGGTGCAGGAGGTGGGACCAGCTCATAGTGGTCTCCACCTTTCTTCCGAACAGGCTTAGCCACCTGCGGCTTTGGTCGCCACTCCTCCTTGAGCTTTTTGTTCGGAGGCGAGACTGGATGGAGTGGCGGCGAAGGAATGATAGGAGGGTCCTGCAAAATGAGAGGTGCAGGAGGATACACGACAGGCTCGTGTACCTGATCAGAAATGGCATGCACAGGCGTGACAACAATCATAGCACAGTGATCGAATTCAGTCACAGAAAAAGTAGCCTATTCATTCCCAGCACGCAGGATCAGTTTACCATCATGCACATCAATAAGTGCCTTGGCGGTGGCAAGAAATGGTCTACCCAGAATCAAAGGCACATCCACATCCTTATGTATATCAAGAATAACAAAATCAACAGGATATGTGAATGCACCTACACTAACAAGCAGATCCTCTATGATCCCCCTAGGATGCACAATGGAACGGTCAGCGAGCTGGATGCTCATCCTAGTAGGGCTAATTTCACCTAAGTCTAGCTTCTTAAACAACCTATATGGCATGACATTTATGCTAGCGCCTAGGTCCGCCAAGGACTTGCCTACATGCAT